GGAGAATATTATGACCAAACGGCCTCGGGAAAGAATTTGGCGGACCAAAAGTGTCGTCAACCGCAGAAGTTGAAAAAAAGTCGAATGTGGCGTTTGTCAGAAGATATGGCGAGTTACTAGCGCTCGCGGTGAGGCTCTCGTTCGCTAGTGGAAACAATCCATATAGCCTGCCCGACTCTAAAGATATACTGGGATCCATAGCCTTTGGATCGACAGTCTTCGAGACCTCGCCACCAATAGCACTTTTATACGCAACTCCGAGACCAATAGGGAGAACCCAGAGTACCACCAAGGGCATGTAAAACCAGCCGCTGTCCTTAGGTCGGAATAGACTCTTGCTGAGAACAGCGTCATGCTTAGGCTGAGAAGGACCGTAACGTTCCAGTAAGGACAAGAATGTGGCGCTTGATATCTCGTCCAGAAACGTTTTCATGAAAGCCAGAAGTAAGCCGACGAGTATAAGTTGTTTCTCGAAGCCGAGATGCCACGGCCACCCTGCTTTTGGTGAGATTACAAAGCACCCAAGCACAAAGATTATCCACGAGGCCATCAAGACGCTCGCATGAACCCATGTGGGACGCCGGAAGACGCTTTCATTTGTCCCAGCACTGTGATTGGATCGTCGTGAAGGTGCCATTTCGCGAGAGGAGCGAGCTGGTGAACTTTGATGTTCAGCAAGAGAGCTTGTGTTATCTCTTCTTTCTCAGCTGGGTTGGACCCCGTTGAGACTACTGTTTTGCGAATTGGTCTGGTGGGCCGGATTTCGTGTAGTCGAAAAAGTATTGGCTCGTTATAGGTGCTGTCATCCCGGTGATAATTTTCAGGTATGTTCAGTTTCATTTCCAGATGTCTCCCAGAGTAACAGCATCACTTTCACCTGCCACCTGAGGGCCGAGACATGACTATATATGCTTGGTTCGACGTGAAGGACGGTATCGTTCTGTGGAAAAGGGTGCCTGGTCAGGATCATCTTGTACATTTTTGCTACAAAGTTGGAAAAGCCTTGTTGATTAATAATTAATCGATGAAGAGGTTGCATTCATGGTTCTCCGTTTGGAATGATCAACAGAACAGGCCGCGCGGGGCGTTCTGCTTGGTCAGACCCGCCGCAATCCTACAGCACCGAAGGCCAACCAGGTGGCTGGGTGCAAAATGCTGTAAGACGCCAGCAGCACATTCCCGGTATCGTTCGAAATACTCAGCCCAGAGAGGTGAGCACTTTACATACAACCTTGCCCATAGACCATGGATCTCTCGTTGAAGGCAAATAAGGACGAAGTACTAGATCGCTCTTGGATGTAACCTCTCCATGATGGCTGCCAGACCAAGTCCGAGCAAGGCAGACTCAGATGCTCCTCAGCCACTCTTCGCGTCAACTTTGCATCAACGGAAAAGCACATCGTCTTGACACATGTTTATACACTTATCTGGCGGATGCTCATCGAGCTACGGCGATTGCTCTGTTGGGTAGCCAGTGTTGAGCTGCAGTCGAGTCCATCTACCCAGTCCTGCTTACCAGACACGAGCGTATTGGTCAGCAGTCAGTGAAATTACAGTGCTGAAATTGTACTTAGGCATTTTCCTCGTGAAGAGTAACAAGTCCCGACCCATAAGCAAAACGCACGGCAAAAAGCAAAAAGGAAGGTCAATCGCTGACGGGAATTGAGCCCGACGTGGGGGTCGAACCCACAACCTTGAGATTAAGAGTCTCACGCTCTACCGATTGAGCTAGCCGGGCAGATGCGAGCATCTGCTGGATTGCCTGACATCGACCGGTGGGAGTGGCATCATGTAGCCGTAGCCGCGCAATTTTCGCTGGCACGATGCGAAAATTTCGTGTGGTGTCTCCAGTTGATGCGAAGTGGATCAGCGTTGCAAGCCCAAACCATGTCTCCAAACCCTCGCGGGCTCGGCGGCGGGCCAGTCGGATGAGCGATCGACAGGGACCCATCGCAAAAGGTTCAGTCAAGTTCGGACGAGCAGGCCGACTGAACAGGTCTCCTTAAGCTTAAGAAGGGCTTCGGATGATGGCCAAGTCTCTCGAAAGGACTCAAGATCTTCGTCGCAGAGGGCTTGCGTCACACAAGTTTGTCAGTTGTGCAGTCATGCGCCCATTGCAGCCAAGGGTCTTCTTCAAATCGGTCCCCTCATCTACCCCTTTCGCCGCACACGGAGCCTCTCGCTCCGCGTTCACGTTCACGAAAGTCAAAGCCCCCTCTGTCATGCCCCGGCAGGAAATCTCCAAATCCCGGCAGACGCTGCTCGATGGGGGAAGCGGGTGGAAGTGGAGACGCAAAAATAACCTCCGTCGCCCCCTGGAATCTTAATGATCTTCCCCTCCTGTGATTCCCCTTACGTCTCTTGGCCATATGGGCGAGATTGAGGGGGCCTGACAGGCTGTTTGAATTAGAATGGTCTCGGGCAGTTGGAATAAGGTATATATCCCACCGGCCGCACCCGTCTGTCTGGATCTGATCCAGACGGCTTGAGTTGCATCCGATCTTTTCATTCGCTTTTGTTTCTTTATTCCACCCCCGTGCTGATCTTCCGCGATAACCATGGCGAGATCCACGGCGCTTTCTCTCCGTGCCGTCCTCGCGTTTGCCGCTGGCGTGTATTCGCAGTCATGCATCGGCACCGACGGGGCCAAGGTTTACGAGGCCGAGGACGGTGTCCTCTCCGGCACGACGGTTGACACTGCCCAGGCTGGCTTCACTGGTGAGCACCAAAAGCTTCCTTTCGGAACTACACCAATCTGACTTCGGCTTCCATAGGCACCGGATACGTGACCAGTTTCGAAGACGACACCGACAAGCTCACCATCAACGTTGACTGCACCGGTGACGGCCAGAAGCTCTTCGATCTCAGCATCAGATACGCCGGCATTTACGGCGAGAAGCGCACCAACGTTGTCCTCAATGGCGGCGCTGCAAGCGAGGTTCTCCTCGCGGCTGGCGAGACGTGGGCAAATGTCTCTGCTGGTCAGGTCCTCCTGAACCAGGGCAACAACACAATTGACATCGTCAAGAACTGGGGATAGTGAGTTCATTGACGCGATATGACATTCTTCATGACTGACCTCAGAAGCTACCTTATTGACTCCATCACCCTCACGCCCTCCGCCGCCCGCGGACCCCACAACATCAACGAGGCCCTCGTCAACGCCAAGGCCAACACCGACGCCAACGCCCTCTACAAGTACCTCCGCTCCATCTACGGCAAGAACATCCTCTCCGGTCAGCAAGAACTCTCCTACTCCAACTGGGTCAACGAGCAGATTGGCAAGACCCCCGCCCTCGTCAGCGTCGACCTGATGGACTACTCCCCCAGTCGCGTCGAGCGCGGCACCGTCGGAACCGCGGTCGAGGAGGCCATCACCCACGCCGAGCGCGGCGGCATCGTCTCCGTCCTCTGGCACTGGAACGCGCCCACGGGCCTGTACGACACCGAGGAGAACAAGTGGTGGAGCGGTTTCTACACGCGCGCCACCGACTTCAACGTCGAGACTGCGCTCGCCGATACCACCAACGCCAACTACACCCTCATCATCCGCGACATTGACGCCATTGCCGTGCAGCTGAAGAAGCTCCAAGATGCAGGCGTGCCGGTGCTCTGGCGCCCGCTGCACGAGGCCGAGGGCGCGTGGTTTTGGTGGGGTGCCAAGGGCCCCGAGGCATGCAAGAAACTTTACGCTTTGTTGTACGACCGTCTTACGAACCACCATGAGCTGAACAACCTTATCTGGGTGTGGAACTCGGTTGCGGAGGCTTGGTACCCCGGCGATGAGACTGTCGATATCCTTAGCGCCGATGTCTACGCTCAAGGCCACGGAGTAAGTGACACCCTTACTCACATTTAGAATGGATTTTGCTCACCATCATCTCAGCCTATGACCACTCAATACAACGACCTCATTGCTCTCGGTGGCGACAAGAAGCTCATTGCTGCGACGGAGGTTGGCAGTGCTCCCTTCCCTGACCTCCTTCAGGCGTACGAGGCCCACTGGCTGTACTTCTGCGTCTGGAGTGATACCTTCATCAACAACGCCGAGTGGAACAGCGTCGCGGATCTGAAGACGGTAAGAAAAGCGCCCACGGTTCGATATTATCAAGAACTAACAGTCGATAGATCTACGAGAGCGAGTACGTGCTCACCTTGGATGAGATCCAGGGCTGGCGTGGCTGAAAAGCATCCTTCAGTGCCCAGGAACATATTTCACTGTAGATATTCAATTGAAACCATCTGTACATTGCTTGTCAAAATTTCCTGACTATTTTCTTTGAACTTCGTGATGCGTCTGGTCTGCAGCCCGGTGAGGAAAGGTTCTTTGTCAGATACCTCGATGTGATGTGGATTGACCACCCCCTATCCCCACTCCATCCCTTGTGTTGTTTTTCTTTGTTCCCAATGTTTTCCATTGGCCAAGTCGGTGAAAGTTGCAACGCAACAAGACCCAGAAAAAAAGTCTCTTCAATCGACGGCCTCAGCAATTCCAACTCTCGACACAATTTCAGAAAACCATAATCACCTCAGGTGCAGACCCTTGACAGAGACTCTGCTGGTCTCGCCGCGGCCCATGAGGAGCTGGTTTAGATCGACCGGTCGCTCCGGCTCATTCTGAGGGGGCAAAGGAACCTCCCAAGGACGAAAAGGCCTGGGCGATACATGGCACCCGATTACGCCGGCATAATGAAAGACGCCGCTTGAAGGCCCAGATCCCCGTGATGCGAGACTTGATCCGGCGTCGGCAAGACCTGTGGGCTGTCTACAACGACCGCGCCCGACCGTATCCATTGCACAAAGGTTGACCCGACCTCCCGCGAGAGGTACTAGGCATTATCCTTTCCCAATACGATACAAACGACCCAGATCGTGCTTACACAGAGCCAGTCCCAAATCGCGGACGCGACATCGTTCAGGACATCCAGTCGATCCGGTTGAGTTGTCGTCAACTCAACGAGGAGGCATCTCGTCTTTTGGTGCCTCACGTGTCCATCGAAATGACGACCGATTCAATGGAGCATCTCGAAAAGGTCATTGCTCGCCCATTTATTGGACCTGGAGTTAAATATCTTCGCCTCATTCTTCCATACTACCCCTCAGAAATGGCCGACAGCCGTGTGGTGTTCAAGCAGGTTCAAATTCGGCGTCAGATTCGCCTATGGGAAAGGACGTACCAGCCAGAATACTACGTTGAGCACCTGCAAGTAAAGGTCGATAGAGCGTATGCTGCGTACAAAGAACTCCACAAGCAGCAAGAGGAGATGAAGCAGAATTTAGGGGAAAGTCTTGCACAGCTGATACGGAGGATGCCTGGAATAACGCAGTTGGAAATCTATGATGAGCCGGTGACGGGAGGCCTCAAGATCCTGGGCTGGAATGCATCTCAGTCTCCCACTTCAGGAAGGAAACTGGATACCTCTCTGGACTTCTACAAGGACGTTATGGATAACCTCACTGAGAGGTTCACAGTTCCTTTCTTGAGGTGGGGAGACCATGACTACCTGAAGGGCGACCACGTCCTTACAATGGAGGACGTCGGTTTCGTGCGCAAGCTTTTGGTCTACCTTGGGACGGCCGGAATCAAACTCACTCGACTTTCCATCAAGCCATCAGCGCCAAAGGACCTCTCAGGTTTCAAATGCGATGACGACGAGAAGACTGCTTTGCAAGCCCTCGCGGAAAATCTCCAACACTTTCACTTTTCGACAGGGATACAAAAGGAGAACAAGCTCCGGTCGGGCAAGGAGCTGACGGCAGTCAGTTCATTCATAAGCCCACTTAGTCGTATGCCGAACTTGCAAGTGCTTGCCGTGGACTTTGAGGGCATGATGAAGGCCAGGGCATGGTGCACTCACTACACCCCGATTCTCTCACAAACACCTCAGAGGCCTCTGAAGAAGCTCGCCCTCCGCTACGTCAACATCAAGGGGCCTGTTTTTGGGAAGTTCCTCGCCAATTTGAATTCGTCGCTGGACCTGGTGATATACAAGTGCAAGATGGTCGACGGGACTTGGCGCGAGCTCATGGACACCATGAAGGAGTTGGCCGATCCGGCGAGACCGAGTGGCAAGCGTCTGAGGCTGCGTGAATTTACGTTCCCCTCTGGGGCCGAAGTCGACTCACTGGGGAGCAAGCGTTTCGGGCACATTTTCGGTTGGGGGGGGGGGGGGGGAGGTTCAGGCAGGCTTACAGGCAACGGCGAGGAAAGGTTGAGTCTCGCGCGTGCGTATGTCCTACAAAAGTGCAACGTTGTGGAAAATCCTCTTAGCACCCCATCCATTGTTCAAATGTTGAATTCCAACTAGGCTCGAGCAAAATACTCCAGCAACATGAGGGATCAGGGACCTCGGAGACGGACATGCAGCCCTTCGGTCGGAGGCAAGGAAATATCGCCTAAGGCTTGGCAGCTGAGCAAGGCGGGGACTGACGGAAGACGTCATCTATAAATATCCCGATATTTTTCATCCCATATGAAGACTGTGCCAGGATCGGTATGACATCTAATCAATCAAAGAAAGGACCTGTCCTAGAGTTTCAAATGGTCGGTACCGCGTGGATCCCTGCAACACTTCCCGACTGCCCACATAACGTAGATACTACGGCAGCGAGGACAAGCGTAGAGGATGGAAAAAGGCGGGGAGGGAACATAATGCTAAGCTTTCTGACCAATAAGCTCCTCGGGGAAGACGGATTACCGATTATTTGAAACTCTCGGCTAAGGCTTAGTTTCTACAGCAGTCAACAGCAGAGACTGGAGAGAAAGCAGGTCCCAGGCAGTGATGTGTCTTGAATGTGAGCCGAGGCAAGTCGGACGAAGCCAATGGATTATGTCTTGCGCCCATCGACCAAGCCTCTTAACCGGCGTCATTCCCTACTTAACGAGAACAATCTTTGTCTTTCAGTGATTGTTTCCCGAGGGCTGTAAACAAGTGGCCGTAAGAACTCACACTGGACTAAGCCGCAATGGTAGTAAAAACAGATATGAAAAGCTGCCATATTAAGGCTCATACCTGGTGGCGAAGCAACTTCAATAAGGGGCCCCCGGGACTTCCTTTCCTTCTCCGGCTTAGATAATCCCGCCCGGAGCGGAGGAAGGCTATGCCAGTGCAGTCTTGCTGCAGGCCCATCCCACCGGTACCATCCGCCGCGTGTGCAGCGCACGCGTAGTCCGGTAGCGCAATCCTGATAATCTACGTCCCTTGCCGCTTAGTACGCGGTCTCCTACACTCACCTCTGGCACAGATGAGGCTCAAAGAGCTGCATTGATGCAAAGATTGGGGGAGGAGAGCTCGGGTTCTCCGATGTGACATCGTGCTTTGATGATCATCTTGTTGACAGATCAATCCTGCCAACGAGAACGCGCTGTAGCATCCAAGCCCACCGAATACAATAGGAAACTTCCTGAACGGCGCAATGCATATTCATTGGAGTCGCTCCGCAACAGCCTTACAAGATGGCACGTATGAAGGGGTCCTGATGTTGATCTTCCACAGGCCGCCCAGAACGGCCGGTATGACCGAGTGTTCGGAAAGGTGGGGGCGCGGCCTCGTCCCGGGACACTGATCCAGGTCCGGTGGACGGGCGGGCCCGTAGAAAAAGCTGCACAGATGCAGGAGCGGTCGATCCGCCCTACGGATGCCCGATAGGTATCGTCTGTGCTTTCCAGGGTGCGGATGCGGTGATAGGGGTGGTCCAGATGGATGAGGAGGGTGTTCATCTCTTCTATGAGGCCCTCCTTACGAATAGCCTCGGTGCCCTTACGTGGATGCTTCTATGCGAAACTTTCCAATGATCCCCTTTTTCATGCCGTCCACCTCGAAGACCTACTAACCTATATCACCACCCCCTTGCTAACGCCTTTTCGACTTCCGTGCGCGCGGCGCCACATCCAAAAAACAGATTCCCGGGTCCCCGTTTTTTCGCTGTGGTCCCTCCGTCGGCTCCAGTTCATCCCACATCCCGAAAAACAAATCGACGTGTTGACGTATGTGCCATCTGGGATGTGCCCTCATTCTAGAACAAACGATAACGGCACTGCCGTTGTGCGTTGCAAGGTCAATACCTGTTTCCTGCCTTCATTTTTGCTTTTCGGGACCCAGCCCGCTGACAGCTTGGCGGAACGGCAAACACTGGACAGCGGAGGATAGCCGCGGTTTGCATGAAGAAGTTGTGATGATTGATTGAGCTGCTACGTACTACCGGTGGGGACTCAGCCTCAGTGGTCTGAGCCGCAGTATGGGATCATGGGACGGGGGGATTGGGCGTTGTTGGTTGGAAAAGCTTTTTGTGCCAGGTTTTTTTCTTTTTGGTGGTGCGGGAACATCACGTTGTGGTGCGGATCTTCCGGACTGAGAATTGTTCGATATCGCCTCTCGTGGCTCATGATAAATAACCATCTTGTTTCCCACTTACAGATTTTCTGCTCGTCTTCTCAACATCAGCAAACGCACAGCAACACTAATATCAATACCGCTCACCTGAGTCCGTCGCTACTTCAACGCCTCACGCAACATCATATAATCCTTTCCAACAAGCAACAACAAAACATCGCAATAATGCAGCACATCGGAAGCCTCATCTTGGCCTTTGCCTCCCTCACCGCCGCGGTCCCGGGCCTCGCCCCCGCCAGCGTGAGGTCTGCCAAGTCAGCCCACGTCCGTCGTGACACCAGCTCTTTCCAGATCTACGCCTACGGCTCTGGCATTGGCGGCCTGGCTTTGTTCACTGCTGGAGGTAAGCATTCATCTCTCTGTTTCGAAACCTATTTTCCCTCAGATGGAGAGTGTCATCTCATCTTCGTCCCATCTCCTCTACCACACCATCTGTGTTACCATCCGATCGTCTCGGTCTAGACCCTCACTGCCGAAGTTCCCCACCATACTAACGATTCCCTTCCCAGGTGATGCCTACTTCGGAGACTACACCCAGTTCAACGACTCCAACGCGGCCCCGGTGATCTGTAAGTCTGCGCCCAAAAAACATCCCCCACATCCCTTGACTTCGTAAGTCCGAGTAGATTACTGATATCGCAACCAACAGTCACTCCCCAGACCGACGACGAGGAGACCTGGATCGGCGCGCCCAACACCACCGCCGTCACCACCACCCCTACCTGGTCCAACCTCACCTTCACCATCCCCAGCTCCGACTCCGACGTGCACAACGTCGCCTTCCTCGAGAGCAACTCCTCCTCTACCGGCCGCCAGACCAGCGGCTTCGCCTTCTACGGCAACTTCGTCCTGGTCGAGGCCGACGACGGCAGCTACGAGTCCCTGTGGTACGCTACCGCCACCGAGACTGACGGCATCTACAACCTCCGCTGGAACGAGACCGGCGATGACACCGATGACAAGATCATCCTCAACCTCAGGAGGACTGCTCCTTCCAACTAAGTCTTGTGAAGAGTCTTCATGAGAACTTGATTAGTCTTGCCGTTGGCAAGGCTTTTCTCCCCTTTTCTTTGTCACTTGGGACTCGGTTCATGTACATAGTCAAAATATTGTTCTGGTTTTGGTTGAGCAGCGGCGCAAAAAGATGGGATGTCACGGTGCATGTAGATAGACTTTAGTGTGTCAATGAAAAATGCGCTGCGAGGAGCTTCAAGTGCGGTAAGCAAGGTTGCCTTCGACTTTGATTTTGGATTGTTCATCACGCAAAGTTGTGCCCAAGTTGATGACCAACCACTGACTGAAAAACGACGAGAAATAACGCAAATGACTGAGATGAGCCATATAAACTCCCGATACCTCGTCGTACGTTGAAAATGACTGCAGATCGCCGGCTTTTTCCGTTCTCAGGTGAAAAAAGAAAACTCACATGCATTTTCACGTTGTTTTCCACGCTCCCCCACCAGACTGCTACCCTCTGAGTTGCCTCCCCCCGTAACGTCACCGCCGAGTCGGCGCCGACATTGCATTGCGTCTTTGCCGCGCGCGTTCATTTACCACGCGGTCCGCGGAGTGGAGGACGGTGGACCCCTTTTCACAGCCCGTGCTGGCACCGCCCCCCTTCCCCGGATTTGCATGTTTGATTCGTCCGATGCAGATCCGCAATTAAATTCTCCTACGTTATCAATCACATCGCGGGCTGTTCATGTGATTGCGATGGCTTTGATGCGTTGGAACCGGTGGATATTCGTATGGTTGTGTTTAGTAATGAGTAACTAAGCAAATTTCTTCTTACAACAGAACATCATGTCTCATGGCAAGTCACCAGGCGACGTCGTCTGCGAGATGATGGATGGGTGGAAGCGGAGGCGTCCCGATGACCATGGGAACGGGATTCTTGGACCTCAGACCTCTCAAATATGACAGGGCCGGTGTGAGCGGTGCCTTGTCATTAAGCCTGACCCGGCTGCCGAATATGCGTTCAATGTCGCGCTTCAGGAAGTCGATGATCTCACCCCCATATGGGGCAAAAAGGGCCTCGACAAAGACCGTGCCGCATACGCCGCCCTCTTTCCTGGGCCGGGCAGGGTCCGCTTTCGCCCGCAGCATGTCGAGCATTTCGCGCCAAGTGTCCTCATCTTCTTCGTCAATAAAGACGCTTTCCAGCCGCACAATCATATCCGTGGATCGCTCTCCGATCAGCTCCTCAAGGAGACCTGAAGTGAGGGTAACGTTGTCAAGCTCCAAACGTTCGAGTCTCGGCCATGGCTGGGACTTGATGAGGGAGGCTAGAAGTGGCCACCGCCGGAGATCGCCCCATTCATCCAACATGTGATTTCCAAAAGCGCCCGCTCCGATGTGAAGCTTTTTCAAGCTTGGAGTTGACGATATGGCTGCCAAATATGCCGCTATAGGCTCTAGATGTGCCTGGCCTGCTGGCCAATGGGCAGGTGTGATGGAGACGTCATCGTCTCTGGATTTCATGGTGAACTCGAGAGCCCTGACGTTCTGAACAAGAAGAGCAAGTTTGTTTGCCTGCTCTTCAGTCGGCTGCATCATAGACCATTGAATTATCCGAGGGGGAGTGACCGTAATAGCAAGCCTCGTCAGCTGGACGCCTGCCTCGGAGAGTGCAACCGGCAGCTGTAATAAAACACCGACAGGAGCTCCTGCCCACTGCTCGGAGCAGGTGTTCGAAATTTCCCAACGGATTGGAGAAGTCATGAGTCGATAAAGTCCCGTGGTCTCATCCAGATTATGTACATGTTGGATCACCCTGTCATAATGGTCTTTCCAGTCCGGGTCGACGTCCACGTCCGAAATCTCCAGTCTTGTAGCATTGGGCATCCGAGCCATTGCAGCGGAGATCTCTCTCAAAAAGGCCGAATCGACGCCGTTTCTGTGATCTTTGCGGATTC